TTTAAGCTCAAAATAAAATAAATAATTATTAATTATTTTAAATACTATCAATAATATAGAAACATTTTACTATGCCTAAGCATACATAGACCCGTAAAACTTGATGTCTTATCATCCTTCACGCCTTTTAAAATGTTGCATTTTAGTAATGATAGTCCTATAAATAACACAATTAGACTGTGTTTGGTAACCATTATTTTTTAAAAAAATTTCTCTTTCTTAATTATAATCACACATTCTTTAAATAAAATAATATTACACACAAATTTAAAACTTTTCATTACTATTCAGCCACACATTCTTTCATCAATCACTATTCCTAAATTTATAATATACCCAAAATGGGTGTCAAACACGTGCTTATTTATTTTTAAAATTCGGAAAATATTTAAGGTGTTAGATACATACTGGCCTCGACTGGTTCGATCAGTAGATTGGTTCCCAAACCAAAAATTGGATCAATCAAGTCCGATTAACTGGCTATAACCAAATTCATTCAAAACCCGTTGAACCAGCCAATTTAATCGTAAACTGGTGAATCATGGATAACATTTTTTTTTTTAAATGCACTTCTCTCATGGTTACATAAACTTTCAATGTGAGATAGCAAAAAAAGTTACATTGTCGATCAAAACCATTTTTCAAATGTATGTCTAATTGATTAATTTGACTTTGGATTCCAAGATGACGTAATAATCAATTACAGGGGGCAAACACTAGAAAACTTGAAATATTGAGACTAATTGTATAAATAAGTCTTCATCACTCGATATCACTCCAACTTTTAAAGATATTATGGTGCTAAACTTTTCAACAAATTGGTTATTAAATCGACATTAAAATTATAAAAATCATAGAAATCATTAAAGATTATATTAAGAATAGACAATTTTCGTGTACTGGTCCACCTCAATGAGTAANNNTGTACTGGTCCACCTCAATGAGTAAGTATTTTATATCTTTTAAATTTTTGTGCTCATGCGGAAGTTATAATGAAGCCATTATCAGCTTAAGTAAAATCGAATTGACTAATAAAATTAATAAATCGCACTGACTAATGAATTAATTATCCAATTACTTGACTGAAGAGTTTATTAATCCAACTTAAGAATCAAAAGGAAAGAATAAACCAATTTGATTACGTCTTTTCCCGGTCTAATCTTTTAATCTACTATGGACGGCGTAAATGTGTTTACTATACTATAAAAATGGTTAACTAGTACAGATTAATAAATCTATAATATCTTAAATATCACGTCAGGTGAGAATAATTTTCTGGACGATTTTAACCCTACTATAATTAAATTATTTCAATAATACCTTACTTTTCGTTTTTCAATTTGTATTTAATTTATTTAACCATTTAGTTACTTGATAAAACAAGACACAAATAACACTTGAAATAACTGAAATTTAAATAAGTCACTAAATAAAGATCTTAATCTAGTTTTTAATAAGAAGACTACGATATATTCAACACTTAACATCAATCTTACATGTACTATATCTTGGCATATCATATCTAATATTTACTCAACCTCACTTTAGGATCATCTTAACCTTGATAAACGGAAGCAATACTTTTCTTAAGGGTAATTAGTACAAAACCTTCCTACATTTCACTATTATTGTGCAG